ACAGTATTCTTTCATCTCTTACATGTGTGTGATAAAATTTTACTTGATAAAATTCATAAGTGCACAAGTGTTGAAGGCAGGTGTATGCAAAGGTGACTGGAAAGAAACAGAAGATATAGAAATTTTTAGAATTCATTAGATTATTCCAATTGGTTATTAGTAAATCTGAAATTGAAAATATCTTGCAATTGTGGAGAAAAGAAGATGGCTATCCTTTCTCCAACAAAACTATGAACCACCAAAAGTTTCAAAAAATGCTTACAGTATGACATTTGGATTATGCACATACAAAAAGACCCAGAAGAAATGACAAGCTAGAACCTATTAAGGAAGCATTTGAAATCTCAAGTCAATATTTACAAGACAAATAGTTCCAGGGTCATGTATAACACTTGGTAAGTACAGTCCCTGACTTATGATAGTTCAATTTAAAATATTTTGACTCACACAACCATTGTTTTTCACTTTCAGTACAATATTCCAAAAATTACATGAGATATCGAACACTTTATTATTATAAATAAGCTCTGTATTAGAGGATTTTGTCCAACTGTAGGCTATTATAAGTGTTCTGAGCATGTTTGAGGTAGGTTAGGCCAAGCTATGATGTTCGGTAGGTTAAGTGTATTAAATGCATATTTGATTTATGACTGATTTTGCAATGTTTTTATTGAATATGTTAGATGCATTTTCAACTTATGATATTTTCAACTTATGATGGGTTTATTGGGATGTAACCCTATCGTAATGCAACAAGCATCTGTAGTTAATTGCATTCAGATTATGTTACCCACTTCAGGTATAAACACCTTCAAAATTTGGAAAATATGGAATAAAAATCTGGGTAACGTGACAGTGAAACATCATAGGCGTGGAATTTGCAGATCTACACAGAGATTCAGAAAAAGGGTGAGAGCAGAACCAAGGGTAACAAGCATTATAAGAATTGACAAATTTAAAACTTCTGTCAGAAATATAACTTGTGATAATTTTTTACAAATTTAGTCTTGGCTGAGTATTATCCAGCAAGAAACTTTCCTTAGTTGGCTCTCTTTGGAAGAATAGGGTTGAACTGTGAATTTTCACAAATGGAAAAGCAAGAGAAGTCAGCAGCACAAAATCTAGATTTTAAATATACTCCTTGGGTCTTACTGTCCCAAGAAAAACTACAATTACTCTTCTCAGCTCAACACATTCTCAACCACCAATGAATTCAAAAACCTCTGCAGAAATTAACCTTAAGTGATCTGCATTATAAAAAGACTACAGGAGAGATATATTCAAAAAGAAGGTCAGAAACTATACTTGCAAAAGAATGAGTTGAAGGTGGCTTATGACTGATGTTAGTATGGACAGTGTTTTCATTGTATGGGAAAAGCTTCCGTTACAAAACTGTAAGTTATCAAGAAGAAATTCCTCAAGCAACTAGGATAAGAACTTGCAAGACCTAGGAAGAGAATCTGTCTTACCCTCTAACCACATGTTCTTTTACACAAATCTCAAAGTAGGAAGATGAGAGGAAAGATGTTCTTTGTATAGATACAAAAACCCAACAAACAAAAAAGCATGCTACAATTATAATCAGAATATTTGCCAAAAGCATTCAAATGTGACTTATATTCATTGTACAGGTGTTATGTAATAAAATGTATGAAATAGAGTTTTTGTTTTTCATTTTTCTAAGTATATGCTAAGTAAACACTTTTGCTATGTTTAAATTCTTATTAAAAGCTCCAATAAGTTGTCTTACATTATGCCTTTATTCTTACCTCTATAAATAACTTAAAATGTAAAAAAATAAAAACAGTCCCTTTCAATCTAGATGGTAAACAGTAATAACTATTTTTTTCTGGCACACTGAGGGTTAAAAGAACCCTTAAAAGAAAATGGCTTTGCAGAAATGAACCAAAATTCTAAACATAGTTTTTGATATAAGCTACTGAGTAAATCAAGTCATTATTTAAATCATTTAAAACAATTCAACTGAAAAACCAAATATTTTTGAGCCCCTCTCTGAAGCAGGAAGAGGTAAAAAAAAAACTATTTAGGATTACATGTTTAGTTAGTGACTATGTTGTAAGTATTTATCTTTCAAAAGTTGCTTTTGAAATAACAAAATATGTTTTCAACATAAATTTCCAATTTCCTGTCACCTAAGACTATAGTTTATTTTTCATTTACAAATATTGCTATTCCTATTAGGTACATTCCCTGCCCAATCTGTATAGAAAAAAAATTCTTGTTATGATTCTAAATTTTCTCTTGAATAAAGAAAACAAGCATGAGAGAGGAAGTACAAAATTATATTTTTTCTTTTGCCCTTCTCTCTCTTTACTAAAAAAGCCAATCCTGAGTAGTAAAAACACTAGACTGAAAAAGGAATGGACTAGTAGCCTAACTGGAATGATGTTCTAGTTGAAGTGGGGGGACACTGAGATTCGCAATCCTCCAACATCAAACTATCTTACAAATTTTCTACTTATCATAGCTCACTAGTACTAAGCAAACTTGGAAAGAAGGCAGTCTTTCTGATGTTTACTTTGTGCCTCCTCAGGCTCTGATACCTTCAGGTGGCAGCAATTCCAAGTTCCTTAAACTAGACAGTTTAGTCTTATCTTCCAAAATTGCCCCTCTTCTTCTTCCTAACTCCCAAACACCCATTCCTAGGGCACTGCTCCCAACTATGTGTTTATCAGATTACTTACAGCTAAATTCATACCAAGTACTAATGCCAAAATATCACCCTACAAATTACTTGCTAATTGCAAAAGGAAAGGCTTACAATGTAAAGATAGATCAGATTTTGGATTACTAACAGGACAATCCTACTTTATGTTGAATGAAATGAAGTACACAGCATGTTTGTGAAGTATTCTTGTCAAAAAATATTAAACCTGAATCTACTCAAGCCTTTAGACCTAACTTCAAGTTTCCAAAAAATACATGGGGCAAGAGGGAACAATTTAAACACCATGAGGACGAACTATCAGTAAAATACAGAATATATAGGTTATTCTATAAGACTACTGACCTGGTCTCTTCAAACAGTCAATGTCATTAGGGGAAAAAAAAAAAAAATGAGGGAACTACTGTAAATTAAAAGAGACTAAGACAAATAAATGTAGTAAATGATTGGATCCTGGTTCCAAAAATAGTTAAAAAGGATATTTTGGGAATAATGGGGGAAATGTGAATATATTCTACATCATATATTTAATTTTGGGAAATATTCTTAATTTCTTAAACATGACTATGGTATTGTGTTATCAACATAAAGAAAAATGCCTTAATCTTATGAGACACACACTAACACACATATAGCATTTAGGGGTGAATTGTTTTATCTGCAAGGGACTTAGAAATGTACAGCAAATAAGAGTGTGACAAAGCAAATGTGGCAAAATGGCAATGACAACTGTTAGAACTAGGTGGTAGGTATGAGTGCTCAAATCCGCTATTCTTCTAATTTTCAATGTTTGAAAAAAAAAATCATTACTTGAATAAAAAGTTGCACGTTAAAAAAAATTAACCCAAAAACAAAAATGTAAAAGAAAAAGCAACTGATTAGTATTTCTTAAATTTTTTAGGTGAGCCTCCTTGCCTATTCTCACCCACCTCTTCCCGTAAAAATGGGACATACTAGAGTGAGTTTGAGTACTGGATGAGGAGTCAGAAGACCTAAGGTTCTATAATTGGCCCTGGCTTTTCCTAGCCAGGTGACCTCATTAAAGACCTCTCCCTGAGGCGTTCCCTCACCTTCAAAACAGTTCCATCAATAGAGACCACTACAAAAGGGGCTAGGAGGTAACAATCAGGTGTTTCTGACATTAATGACAGATACAAATACCAGAGACAATTATAACGGTACTTGTAGTGATGTTAAAACACAGCCCTAACTTAATTTTATAATTAAACCAGTGCCTTCACAGGCACGGTTTCTGCGTCTAGACAGCTTGAGTTGGCACAGTGATTCCCCAAAGCAGGACACCTCACAAATGCTAACTGGAGGCTTTTGTACTTGAAAACCCTCCTTCTAGCTTTCAATTTTATGTTTAACGGCACTCAAAAACGTCAAATTCTGTCCAGCTCTCAAACCAATAAACCCAATTTTTTTTAAGCTGACAGAATTTTTATTTAAACAAATCTTCGCAAACAAAGAGAATCCCTTGGCCAAAGATCTCCCGTGCTTGCAGAAACGGGTTCACTTTGACGTTTTTCCTCTCCAGCACATTCCTCCTTAAAAGCGTTAAAACTTGAGGTAAGTTGGGTGGCACTCCTTCCATTCTAGAGCAGGCTAAAACCTCAGAGTGAGATCATTCTTTCCGTCTCATTAAGTGAAAGCTGCAAAAGCTCAGTTAGAAAATTGTGTCTCCAACTCCACGCTTCTCGGGACCCTTCGCCTTCTGCAGACAATAATAACAGGACTTCAATGGCAGAGCGGGCAAGTCCCTCTGACAAAAAATGAGGGTGTAATCGTGGAGTGACGGGTCACCTGAGCAAACTGAGGGGCCCTGTGTCTGAAAGTTCCGAAGGGCCTATGGTCTCCTTTCCTACGACGGAAGACGCTCGGGGATGGGCTGTGGTGTGAGGAGTAATGGTCTCGGCCAAACATCAGCACAGAATGTATTGAAAGACCAAAGGGAGTTGCCTCCAGAGAAAAAGAGCCAAAACCAGGCTGAGGACACACAGGCGCACAGGCCTGGGAGGCGAGGTGGCGGAGGAGCAGGAGGCGGCGGCGGCCTGCGCGGCCCTGGCCAGCAGCAGCCCAGCCGGGCGCCGCGTCGCGCCGGGATCCCTCCCCCGCCTGGGCCGACGCAAGATGGCGGTCTGGCCGCCGCCGCCGCGCAGCCGGCCTCCTCCCCCGCGCCCTGGGCGCTCCAGACGACCCGCGCCGGCCTCAAGACCCCCAGCCCAGCGCCCCCGGAGTGAGGCGGCGCAGGCCGCGCGGGAGGGCCTCTGCCTGCCGCAGCGCGGGGCGGGCGGGGGCGGGGGGCGCTTACCGTGAGCGGAGCGGATCGGCCTGACTGGAGCCCTGAGGAGGAGGAGAAAGAGGAGGAGGAAAAGGAGGAGCACGGAAAACTACACTGCGGCGACAGTGGCGGCTCCCATTGCGGAGCCGGCAGCTGAGCCGGGGAAAGGGGGGGCTCTCGTGCAGCCAGCGCGCTGCCTCATGGGTAGGCTCCGGGTCAGCCTCCCCGCGTCCGGGTTCCCTGTCTTCTCGCGGGCGCGGGGGGCGGGCGCCGGCATGTGCGCCGCGTCCCTGGCCCTCGACGCCCGCCGCGCCCAGCCACGCGCCGGCCCCGGGCGAGGGCCCGGCTCGGGCCCTGACGTGGGTGCGGGTCGGCGGCAGTCCCGGAACCTGGCCGGCACCGAGTCTGCAGGCGCGGAGCCGTGAGTTCTGGGCCCCCCCTGTCTGTCACGGCCACCCCTCTCCGTGGGCTTGGAAAGCAAAAAGGTCACGGAAGACGGCCACCATTATGAAAAGAAATACTGCGCCTGTAGGGCGAAGACAGCGGATGAGAAAAAGGAATAGTCAGGTTCTTCTACCAATGGGCTGCTTTTACCAAATTTGTTTTAAACGTGGCTTTGCTTGCATCTCATGTCGAAGTCAAATAAAATATGTAGAGGCGAATCTCTAAATTTTACATACTATTTGGGATATAAGAATTGCAATTCGTAGCATACATACAGACCTGGTGGTCTTCTTCCCTACGTCCAAAGAACAAAGTGAAGGTTGGAGGTTTTATAAGAAGGAGAAATGTTACCTGTTTTTCCAGACAGTTCTTTGACACTAGAAAAGTTTTGGGGAGCTGGCATGCTGTGGAGGTAGGCACAACTAGTCTTAGAGTTGCAGCTGGTTGTTTCAGAAGCCATCAGATGAAACTGGCTTCAGGTTACAGCAAGCAGCTTCAGCAACCGGACTTACCGACAATTACATCCTTGGAGCAATGTTATGCACCCGAGGGCTCTCTCCCCTGGCTTCTCTAATCTGTTTTAGTTGAGTATGACAAGAATGACACAATTTGCATGATCAACTTTCACATTCCTCACTCTGCTGTATGGATAGTAACCTTTAATAACAACCAAAATAAAGTTCCCACCGATGTACTTAGAAGAAAAACATTTGCTGTCTTCAAAACAGTGTTGGAAAAAAAGAAAAAAAACACTTGCTAAAATACTGACTTACTTGCATAAACTTGTTGAACATTGTAATCCGATCTGTAAGGAAAGTTTCCTCAAGCAATTGTCCTAACAAGATCAAGGGGCAGTAAACCTGAAATCTCCTATAGCCAAGTCCTCCTCTCTCTCACACAAACACACATACACACACACACACACACATCCTGTGCAATCACTTAATCTTACTAATTCGTCTTTTTATTTGTGTTAAATTTCTCATCCAGACTGCTCCCAGCTGTCTCCAGGTGTTTAGCATTACTGTAGCACATTGGTTACCACTCCCAAATTAATTTTCCCTAAAGGCAATTTGGATCACCCCCTATGAAACTACTGGTAACCATGACCTCTTCTCCCTTGGGCCTGAAGATAGGCTTTATAACATAGACTCATGAGATCTGTTGAGTAAATTAAAGCTTTGTCTTGGTTTAAGCTTTATCTTGCATAGCCTTAGGCCTGTTGATGAGTTACAAAGGATGTCTCCAAGAAGGGCAAAGGGCATGATAAGGCATGTCTGACCTCCCTTTTCTTGGATAGCAACTCAGCTATAGGGTATTTCTGGAGTCGCCTAGGCCAAGCAGGGGTCCATTCAGTCAGCTGGGGAGCTTAAGATTACATTTTAGTTCATATTTGTTATAGTGTCAAAAGACGAAATTACAAGAAATTTAAAGATTTCAATTTGCAGGCCGGGCACGGTGGATCATGCCGGTAATTCTAACTCTCTGGGAGGCCAGGCAGGCAGATTGCTCAAGGTCAGTAGTTCAAAACCAGCCTGAGCAAGAGCGAGACCCCGTCCCTACTATAAATAGAAATAAATTAATTGGCCAACTAATATATATAGAAAAAATTAGCCAGGCATGGTGGTGCATGCCTGTAGTCCCAGCTACTCCGGAGGCTGAGGCAGCAGGATTGCTTGAGCCCAGGAGTTTGAGGTTGCTGTGAGCTGGGCTGATGCCATGGCACTCACTCTAGCCTGAGCAACAAAGTAAGACTCTGTCTCAAAAAAAAAGAAATATTTCAATTGGCTTTATTGCAATTTTAGAATTGGGGCAATACTTCATTCCATAAAATAGAATAAGGATTCCAAAGAGTTAAGCAGAGGAGTTTGGTTTCATAGACAGAAAAAGGGCTGAAGAAAGCAGAAACAAAGGGAAAAAAGCAGTTTGGCCATTTCAAAATTACTTTCCTTATAAATTGGGGACAGTGAGACAGAAAAATAGAAAGATAACTGGTTAACTTCAGATTACTCTTTGTTGTATGGATTAAAACAGAAGTTCATTATCATGTTGATTGAACATTGCATTTAGCTAGTTTCAGAAATTAGGCTGTTATCTCTCCTGATTTTTTAGAAAGGCCGCTTAACAACTCAGTTTTAGTTTGGTGAGCATGGATGACTCCATCTTGAAAATTAGTCTAGTCTGTTGGGGACTAGTGTTAGGGTGGAAAGGTTAGTAGGTGCTCATGGCACAGGTGAAGAAAGATTTCTCATGCAGAGATTAAGATATAAAAGTAAAAAGTTTATTTTATCCTTCTTAGAGGAGAAAGGGAAAGAGCCGGCGTGGCATCCCAAAGAAAGAGAAGGGAATGCCAGCAGTGAGGCCAAGTGGCTTGCTGATTTTAAGGGGGACAAAGAGAGAAAAAAATAGCAATGGCTATCAGTTGATAACAAAAGCAGCATCAGGTAGATAACAAAAACTGCAAGGAGGTCAAAGTTCAAGAGTTGGTTTCCTACCTTTCCTTGGAGAAGGGATCATCGCAGGAGATGTGACTCTGTCCTTGAGATATATATATGGTTGAGGCTGTAGTTCATTCTTCTGCTGTTTACTCAGGAACTCTGTAAATGCAGATTCTCAAAAAACAATTTTGAAAGAGAGAGATGTACATCTCTTTTCCATTCATTCAGCTCTTTCCAGAAGTTGTGCAAAACAGAACTCCTGCAGGGTGCCTGTTAATGAGAGAACTCATAGGATCAATCTTTAACTGTTACTGGGGAAACTGTGGGATTAGTTATTTTGCTGTTTTTGTTGCAAGGCTTCCCCCTATCATTCCCCCCTTTCTGTTGTTTAAATTAAAATTTTTATTTAAAAAATGAACTCAGAAACAGGGAAAGTGGGTGGAGCTCTTTCTTCTGTAACTGCTTCCAGTTGAGGAATGTAGAGCTCTTTGGGAGTGAGTTCATTTGAATTATTAAAAGGGAAGGGGTTGAAAGTGGATGGTCTTGAACGCTAGATTAGAGCCAGGATGGGGGGGGTCTCACTGGAGAGAAATAATTAGGGCCTGAATTTGGTTCTGTATGAATGTTGCTAGAATTCAGGGTTTGAAAATGAAAGCTAAAAGCAGAGCCACTGAGGGCATTAGCCAAAAACCTAAGGCCACACATGGTGTGAAAAGAATTCAGTTTTGAGAAGGTAGAGAGTCTCTTAGACTGTAGGCAGATAGAGATGTCACAGAGCATCCATAGTTGGGGTATGGAAGTAAGGTGGTTGTTATTAGGGCTCTTAGCCTGGGCAAACGACTGATGGGCCCAGCATGTAGGCTGGGCCATGGCAGCTTTTACAGAGTGACACGAGAAGTATATAGAGGAGGCAAAGGGCAATAAGAATCCACATATGCCACAGCATTTTATCAGAGTCTGGTATCCATGATGGACTGGACTTTCAGGGAGCTCACTGTGAGTGGAAGCAGATTCTGGATGGTCTGTACGTTTAATTCCAGAGAGATGACTCTAGGACAGGATTCCCAGAAGCTCAGCTGTAATGCTGGAAGCAGCAAGAATTATTTAAAAGGACCTCTTTAAAGGTTAAAGGGGACCCAGTTTGTTTTGGGAATCTTTAAGTAAAATCTAGTCTGTAGGCTGTAAATGTTGCAGTCCCTTTAAGAAGTTGTTCAGTGAGTTTTACTGTCAGGTGGGGATAGAGAAAGACAACAAGGGAACTGAACATTTACTAATTGTATCCCTTGAAATCGGCCCTTAACAGCAGTAAATAAGGTTGGGCCAGGAAGGATTTAAAAGTTTCAATCCTGGAGATATCAGATAAACTTTGTTATTCATTTAATACAGTTTAACATACCAGTAAGCCTAATAAGTTTTTTCTTGGGTTTCTAGCGTCTCTACTATTAAAAGCTAGTTTAAGGTTAAAAATGAATTCAGAATTTTGTTCTTGGAAAGCCTGTTAACCTTTATAGGTCTAAAACATCTGTTTAAATAGAATCACAGGTCACTATGAAATAATGGCTTTCATTTACCGAGGAGTGAGAGTCTTTAGAAGACTTTAAAGGCAACACAGGAAGTTATATGAGTATAAGCTTCAACCCTCAAAGTTTACTTTTTCTAGTTAGCTAAAACCCAACAAAGATAACACAGGGATTATTTTAACACAGCATAAAATCCTTGTCTCTTTCAGGCCAGTCACTAAAGAGGCAAAGAAAACCTTTCTGAATAGTATGACTGTCATAAGTGGCCATCTTAGATATAGTTACTTTCATTGATGTATTAATTATGATCTTAAAACATTTAAACTTTAATAACAATTTTTAAAAACTACTTTCATTTACCAAAGATTACCAAGGCCACATGAACTAAAAGGCATTTGAGTTCTTTCTTATGTTCTCAAAATACTTAATGTAAGCTTACTTTTTATTTAAGCCAATTAATTAGAGCTTTTATATATTTTGGTAGTGAAATATTACATACACATGGCACACATGGACACACAAACAAATAGACATATAGACAATTTTTTTTATTAAGGTGGAAAGTTTATAGTTTGAAAGTTCAGGAAAGTTCAGGAAACTTTACCAAGGAAAACATTGCATGTAAAGTTCCAGTTAAGATTTTTCCAGAAGTCAGAGAAAGGAAGCCATCAGACTTTTTCAGTGGGGGTAATTGGAAAGCAGAAAAAGGGCTGGGCAAAGACTTTATCTCCCAGCAGTCAGAGAAGGAACACACAGTGGGTTTATATTTTACCTTTCACTCCGGCAATGGGGGTAGGAGAGAGAAACAGAGGCCTGAAAAA